TTCATCATCTTCCTAACAATCCTCCTCATTTGGGCAATTCTCCAACCTTCAAAGCCACGTTTCCTCCTCCAAGACGCCACCGTCTACGCCTTCAACGTCTCCGGCAATCCACCGAACCTCCTCACCTCCAACTTCCAAATCACTCTTTCTTCCCGTAACCCTAATGACAAGATCGGCGTTTACTACGACCGCCTTGAAGTCTACGCTACCTACCGGAGCCAACAGATTACTTTCCGAACAACAATCCCTCCCACGTATCAGGGACACAAAGAAATCAACATCTGGTCGCCGTTTGTCTACGGAACCTCCGTTCCCATCGCTCCTTTTAACGGCGTTGGTCTTGACGAAGATAAAGATAACGGCGCCGTTATGTTGATCATTCGTGCTGATGGTAGAGTTCGGTGGAAGGTTGGGACTTTTATCACCGGGAAGTATCATCTTCATGTGAAGTGTCCGGCGTATATTAACTTCGGTAATAAAGCTGCCGGAGTTATCATCGGAGATAACGCCGTTAAGTATACGTTTACCAGTAGTTGTAGTGTTAGTGTGTGAAACGACGACGGAGATAAATAAGGTAACTACTAACGTCTCCGTTAAGTAATTTGTTTTCATAATTACCACTAGTGATGTGAATTGGACATTTTGCTTATACGAATAGCAAATATTACAGATTCGTGTTGTTGTATGTAACGAGTTTCAAGAATTTCAATATGTATACCTTTATTTATTATAGTTGAATTCTAAATTCTATTTTAAGTTGTGATTTTCTTAGAAGTATATTTTTACTGATTTTGATGCATCTTCTGATCCTGTCAAATCGACTTTTGTTTGTAACTTTTTGAGGATTTTTTCTTTTGATATGGTAAAGTTGGACGGCGATGGAAATTAAATTTTAGTTGAATATTGATTAGGCTCGTTAATGTTTTGTGGACGTTGTGTGATGGTGTCATTGTCCATTTGTCTCCATCTTTTTCTTAAAATAAATAGAGATCCATTTTTTTATATAGTCTTTTATATATTTTTCACAAGTAAGAAAATTCAGAAAGATAAATTATGTGGATTGGATTTATTTTAGTCATATTTATGGATTTATAGGTAGATTTTATTTGTTGGTGTCTGGCTTAAAATATGGTTTTTGCACTTTAAAGCCCATTCTCCTAAAGTTTTGCTACGTACATTCAAATAAAGTTAACACATAACGTTACTTAGGGGGGCTAGCTAACCGTGAATATTCTTGGATCTTGAAATGAGAAAATCAGAATCCGGTACTCATTGTTACAAGTACTGCTTACAAGAATTTGGCTAATATATAGTTTTCTTATATTTTGCATTTTTATACAAGTTACTACCAAACAACTAGTCTAGTACTACTATTTTACTTGGCTCTAAAGACTCTATCTATGTGACGCCGGAGAGAAGACTTATTTCTTGCTAATTTGCATTTTCATTCATTTGATATTAAACATGGTCCCTTAAATTGACCAAAGAAAGGGGAATATGGTCCCTTAAAACTTATTATTTAAGTAATGGTGAACGAAAATAGTATAAGAAACGTAGCAAACGTTGACGGAGAAAGCCAGTCACCAATATTACTTTGGATTTCAATAACATGATATAGTATGTATATAGACAACGTTCTGTCTCAAATAAAGTTGAGAAACCTAATTACTTTGGATTTTCTTTGATAAATAAAAATAAAGTGGGTATGAACGTGCTATGTGTGCTGTTCACACACAGGCACTAGAACGTCCGAGTAACACACTGCCAAACTCACAGAAATTTCTAAAAAGTGGCCTTTTCTATACCTAACTTAAAAATCATTTACAAATTACAACATCGGAAATTTTAGATAGTTATAGTGTAATTATCAATATTGATTAAATATAATTTTTCACTAAGGTGGTGTTATTCAATGATGGATTTTAATAGAATTGAAATCCAACACTAATCTAGTGTTATTCAACTAATGATTATAAATCTAACGTTAAAATCTGGTGTTATTAGATCTTATACTTCATTAGATTTTAAAAGTTTAGTGTTATTCAACTAATGATATGATTTTAAATGATATATCATATCATTTTAAAAGTATAAGATCCATTAATACTAGATTTTAATGAAGTATAACACCAAACTATTAAAATCTAATGAAGTATAAGATCCAATAACACTAGATTTTAAAATTAGATTTAGAATCATTAGTTGAATAACACTGGATTAGTGTTGGATTTCAATTCTACTAAAATTCATCATTGAATAACACCATCTTAGTCTTTTTGATGTGATAATTATGATACATTTTTTTTGGTGAATTCCTCTCTTAGACATTTTGAGTTTAGGTGTTCATGACTATATTCATTATTCAGTAGCGTCTTTATTTTCGTCTACTATTGGGCTACACTATTTTATGTTGGGCCTAATTTGGAATAAGCCTTCTACAATTTGGGATACACTCATCACATTTTACATAAAATTCCTACTTTCTTCCTTCAGTCAGAACTGATAAACAA